GTGGAATGATTTGATGAATAGTTTGTTTTAAAACAAGAAAATGCTCTTTTTTCCAATTTTGAAGATCTCTAGGAAGTTTAGAAGAACTATTTGCGATTCCCCATTCAATTACTTTATTCCAGATTTCTATTTCTTTCATTCCGAGATCATCTCGTTGAATTACTGTGTTAAGCATGATCTCTTCAATTGAAGTAAAATCTGATGATTCAAATAATACTCTAGCATCTTCAGCAATCAATCGATTACAATAATTTAAAAGGTTTTGATATGTTTTTCGCTTACAACTAATACGTAATATTTTTATAATATTTTTTTTAACCCAATCTGATTTAAATTGAATTAAATAATTTTGAAGATTCTCAATTAATTCATGAAGAGAAAATATATCAGCTGCTACCAAAAGATCAAGAAGATTATCGTTATTTTGTTCATCTAAAATTATCTTTCCTGAGTAAAGATACCTTTCAAAAATTTTATTTTATTTAATTTGATTAATATAATTTAAAATATTTATTTATTAATTTCTTTAATTTCCAAAAATAAAAATAAAAATAAATACCCTACATGATTTGTGGCGGTACTGGAATTTCACCAATGTTACAAGTAAGAAATTTATTTATTTTTGCATAATAAACTTTTTTTTTGTTTCATTTGTTTTTGTTCAATTCATTTATTTATTTATATAAAACTTATTTTATTTGATTATAGTTAATAAAGTATCATTTGGAAATAAATATGAAATATGCTCAACAAAACCCATCATTAAGTAATAAACGTGCATCATTGCACTTATTATTTGGTAATAGAGCTATAGTGGATATTATTGATGGTATTGAATTAGAAGAATTGGCAATAAATAGTAATAATTTTCTGAATATAACCTATTTGTTATCACATCCACCTGAAGGTTGGTTAGGAATTGAAGGTAGACTTGATCAGTTGATAATTGATAAATGGTTAAAATCACAGATTGGTATGGTTAATCACAATAATGATAATAAGGATAAGAGCGTCCTTATTTCTTCTAATAATAATAACAAGAAACATCATCATTCAAAATCAAATTCTTTGAATGATTCATTAAGTAATATTGCATCATCAGTAATTCATAAATTTTCAAATTCAAATTTACGCAAATATCCACCAGAATCGTTATCTACATCTTCATTAGTTGAACTAATTAAACATGATAATAATCCTCCTCCATCTATACTTATCAATGATGATAATTATAGTAATAGTAATACTAATAAGAATGACGATCATAAATCTGATGGCTCAAATACAATCCTTTCTTCTAAATTATTATCTACATCCTTTAATGATAGTAATCATATCCCTTCTAAACTTGGTCCTAATAGTAAAATATTTGTTTGTGGTCCACCTAATATGATGATTGCTGTTGAAAAATCATTAAAGAATCTTGGATATCATGAAAATGAATTTATATTATTAATTTAGAACAATATTTTTTATTTATACTTAGTATATTTAGTTTTTTAATTTAATTTTTTAATTTAATTTTTTAATTTGATAGATTTTAATTTGATAGATTTTGATTTACTTTTCAGTTCAAATTTGATAACATCCCTCCTTTTGGAAAATAAAAGTGATCAGCATATCATGACCTTTTAGGATAATTTGTTTTTTTTTAATGAATCAATATACAATCCTTTTATCTACAATAACATTTGTAGATATGTCCTTTTAAATGAAAAAACAAACTTCTGGATTTCTACAAGTTATCTTTTGCCTTATAAAGTCTTTGGCAAAAAATACATGAAAGCTAATTGTTTCTTCATCATCCGATGTATATTTACTAAATGCAATGCGGTTATGCATGATTTACAAAATGTATAAATTAACAAATATGAATAACACTTGCAGGGATTTCCTCCCTTGTAAATTCAATAGAACTTGGAAGTTTTAAATTTTAGTGTTCTCCGTAATGGTTCAACTAGCATCTTTTCTGTTGGTTCAAGAGTAAATGAAATCAAAATTTTTGCAGAAAATTTATGTAATAACTCTT